CCCCCCCCCCCCCCCCACACTTCAAAGTAAACAATTCTTTCTTCGTGGATTTTTCTAGACCAAACATTTGGGATCAGTTTGTTTTTAATTATGCTTTCGTTTTTTTTTTTTTTTTGGTTTTCATAAGATTTTTGCTACCACATACCACGACCACCACACATGATATGAACTAACACCACCGACATGCGCCACATACCTCGCAAACATGTGAAGCACCACGCAAAAAATGAAAGTCCATTCAAATTATTGTTTAATAATTAATTGTAAATGTTTGTCACGTCCTATATCTATGGGATTTATAACACAATTTTGGAGGAACGGTGTCTTAGATAATACGAGACAGAGACAAGTCGAGGACCATCGATTTTATAGTATTTTAAGTTCTAGACTTGGCAGAATATCAAATAATAATAATAATAATAATAATAATAATAATAAAATTATTTTCTAATATTCGTTGCATATTTAAGCTATTAATTATCAATGCAATGACCACACTGTAATCTCCATCTTATATGTATGGCTAACCGGTATCTGAATATAAAATATTTAGACACTTTCACATATTCGTTTTTTTTTCAACGGGTCATAATAGAAAGGGAATTAGGTGATAGCATGGTTATTGTATTATTATTTTTCTTTAGAGATGTCAAAATGGTCGTGTCGAGCCGGCATGGCCCTTTTAACCTTATGCCCGTGACGGGCTTGGGCCGTGCTAGGGTTACGCCTGTGAAGAAACCCTCAGGCCCAGCACTAGAGCCTGACCCTAGCCCTTCACAGGCCAGCTTTGACCCTTTTGATTTTTTTTGGTAATATTTAATTTTAAAAAAAAGAAAATATATTATATACTCTCAAAAGATATGATTTTATTGAATTGAGATAATACGAATAAGTATACATAAATGACTGTCTCGTTAAAAATCTTGCCAAGTAAAACTCATGGGGAGATCGAGACAAAACCTTAGTGAAAGAAAAAAGAGTACAATATTCTAGAATAAGTAAATTACAAAATTTATGTTTCTAGAAGATTCTGTTATGTCTTCAATCTTAACCTAATTTTCTTAATGCACTTGAATTTCACTTATGATTAACAATTTTTTTAAGATTTTTTTTTTATAATTTCAAATTTGATGACAAAAAAAGTAATATATCATATGCCCAAAAAAAAATGTGATTTTATTGAAATAATATAAATAATTACAAGAAAATGACTGGTTGACCGAATGACATAGGTCTGCCAGTTGGCCCTAAAAAGCCTCAAACCTCATTAAAATTTCATGTCGCGGGCTTGGACCTTCGCGGGTCATGTCTGGCCCTTCGCGTGCTTGGGCTTTGGCGGGCCTAGGCCCTACTTGGGCTCCAGGCCTCAAACATGAGGCCCAGCCCAAGCCCTTATGGCGTACCGGCCTGGCCCATAACAGTACTGGACCAGGTTGTGCCGAATTAACTACTATAGCGGGATGGACCGGGCCGTCCATGCCCAATTGGCACCTCTACTTTTCTTAACGCTTGGAATATGTGCAAAATGCCTTATGTCAGCCACATTTTTAGCGAATTGTATTTCCTTTTGAGAATTCCATGGGTGGGTAAAAAAATAAAAAGCATAAAAGTATTGACTTTATTACGGTCTCACAGGTGGGACGGTCATACCACCATAACATATATAAAGAAAAACGTAACATGATATTTATTTAATATAACACGCATATAAAAAATATGTAATACTAAGAAATTTAACTATCTCCGTCTATTGTTAAATTTAGTTGTTATTTTACATAATATGAATGTTAGAAAGGTATGTTAATCATCATATATGAGTGTTAGAAAGGGGTGTTAAATTAATTATCTTGGTGTCTCACATTTTTAATGCCGGTGATATATTAAACATGTTATGTATGTTTTTATTTTTATATATTATAATTGTGGGATTATAGATCACAAACTCTAAAATTATTTTGGTACATTTTATTATATCAAAACATCTCAAAAATATATTGTATTTTTTATAATATATTAAATAGATCCTTTCAAGTTTTATGAAACATATTTTAGAAATGTTGAGGTTGTTTCTTTAGGACATCAAATGTCTAAATTACTCTTCTAATTAATCAATTAGAAACTAAAAGATTCGCTCTGAATTAAGTTTCACAAAACATTTTAAAACAAAATTTCTCAGCAATAAAATGTTTTGTTTATTTGTTTGTTTTTTAACAAAACTTATGCTCAGAATTACCCTTGAAGCCTGTGGAAAATTTTCTTCTAACCATGATATGCATCGTACCAACGAAGAACAGAAAAGAGGGAAGTGATGCGTATTTGTTTGTTCTTTTGTTTTTTGTTTTTTGTTTTTTTTTTTCCTTCAAGTCGATAAGGTTTGGCTAAGCTATTTAAGTAGTCTTAAATACACTTTTAATTGATGGGAAAATGCTTGAATAATTAGTTAGGTGGCTAGCCAAGATCAACCCTACCAAGACCCACTCTAACCTATTGGGATGAATAACTTACGGTCACGATAAATTATAGGTTTATTAGCACTACTAATCCTCAAATTACAAAGTATTGTGTCATTTGCCTAATCTTTTAACTTGGCAGATTGCTCACTGGCTCTAATTTCTTCGCAGTTTAGTCTATGACACTAAAATTGAGAATGAATTTTAAAATTTTACAGAGACGATCATGTCCAATTCAAATAGCAACTGAAATTTTTATAAAGTAATTACCTTAATAAAATGCAAAATATTCTCTTATTGTTTGTTATAAAAACCCTTAGAACATTTTGCATTTGATATATAAAAAATTTCAGTTACTTTGAGATTGAAATTTGATTATCTCGGTGAAATTTCAGAAGTTATTTATTAGTTTTTTTTAGAAGACTAAAACTGCTAAAAATTAAAAATTAAAAAAAATATGGGGGAATAGTTTAGGGACCAATAATACTAATTACTCATGTGAATTAGAAAGAACTAAGGTTTGGTGAAAGCAGAATCTATTAATGATAGATTTGCACTAATGGGGTTAGTTATACAACCATTTGATTGGGACATACTTCAATTGACAACTTCAATATAGGACCACTGGGGACATCTGAACAACCTGGCCATTAAGGAGACTTTAAATTTAAATTTTAAATATAAAAGAAAACCACCAAGCGTCAAAAATTACTAATGAATATACATAATTAGAAAGCAAAATCTTTTGTATTACCCTTTGAAATAATAACCCTTTTGTTTGAAATGATCCAAAAAGAATTTTGACTTCCAAATAGACCCCCCAAACCCCAACCCAATTTTTTTTTTTATTTAAAAAAGACAATAATCATTATTGTATGGGATATAGTTTATATTAATTTAGACAGGAAAAAGAAGACGTAAACAGCTGTTTATGAAGGAAATGGAAATTGTTATGCCATAACTTGCCCTTAAGCTGCATAAAAACAATAAAATATATTCAAGGAAAAAAATACCTAGAGCTGATCCACGTTCAAAATTATCAAAATCTGGTGTCTTTACGTGGCCAAAAAAGTGTTTAGTCATGAATTTTGCAATCACTCTTCTCATGACAAAAAGATAATGGTATATTCAAATACAGTAATGGAGTCACATTATAGTAGTTGAAAGTAGGCATATAAATATATGTAAATTTCTATCTGCTTTAATTTGCATTTGCTTGGTAGGAAAAAGTTGTAATTGTAATGATTAAAGACAATATATCCAACGGCAGAAGCGCCAAGCATATTCGAAGTTGTTTTTGGTGGAAATTCACTATGAAGTTGGCCAATATCTTCACCTCTACTTCTTTGTTTTTCTAGAATAAAATATGATTTTTTTTTTCTTTTTTCGCTAAAGAAATATATAATAGTTCTTTTGTTGGGGTTGAACAAATAAAATAAAAAATAGCTATTAGATTATGAAAAGGGACGTAAATTGTAAGTGCATAATCAAATGGGGTTTGAAACTTTTTTTTTTTTTGGGTTCTAAAAGGGTGAAAGAGGAAAATAAGCCAAGACTTGAGATGAATTAAAATTAATAGGCTAATAATTTACATAAGTTAATAAATAGGCTAAATTGCTATTTTCGCTCATAATTTGTCTGGTTATGAACCATAACTTGACAAGTTATTGTCTATAATTGTCCATAACTTATCTGGCTATGAACCATAACATGACAAATTTGTCCATAACTTATCTGGTTATGAATCATAACTTGACAAGTTATGACATATTAATTTTTATAACTAAAAATTGACTTATATACTTTTTTAAACTTTTCATATTGACCTATTTTTTACCATTTACGTTCTAAAAGCAACCGTCCAAACTCAGATCTCCAATGTACTATTCAGATCCAAAACCATATGCATAAATCAACGTGAGATGCTGATGGCTCGGATGTTGCCAGCTTGTGAACAAATTTAGGCATTAATTAAGGAATAGTAAAAGGATTGGATTTTTGTATAATACGATTGGATTTTCTATGATTTTTTTTTAAAAAAGTTATATGCATTTGGTCTAAGCATTTTTTTTTTTAATTTATAGATGGATGATTCAAACTCTACATCTAAACTATGTTTATATACCATCAATATTCTGAGTATTTTTTTAAGCATAAGATAAAACCTGAAAAATAAAAAATCAACTATATTACTATATGAATTTATAATTTTTGTTTCATGACTTTAGAAAAAGAACTAAACTCGACATGAGCTTAGTTCATTTAGAAGAATAAAATAAAGATCCGAATAGATAAATGAATGAAAGTTAAAAATTTTAATTTAGTTCATGTTGTTTCTACCACTAGTAAAATCAAATTCATTAACTGAGTGAAAAATGAGTCATTCATTTAGAAACGATACAATTTTAACCTAAATTTAAATTAAAGGTATATAACTTTGAAATGACTAAAAATATAAAGATGCTATTGCTATATATATATATATATATATATATATATATATATTAGTAAAGATCTCTTTCTTATTTTAGAAGTGAAGTTATCAGCTCATTCCAGAGCGGATAGCCAAGCCACCTTTCTGAAATTTAATCCAATTACATCCCTACGAGTCAAGAAAAGAACAAAGTTCATGTGCTATATTTTGTTAATTTATTATTCAGAAAACTCAAATAAGAAATAGGGAATTTTTGTGGTGTTTTTTGTTTTTTTAGAATATCGATGTTTTCTGTTTATCAGTTGTTAGATTTATATTATTTTTTCAATTTAATTTAATTTTTGATCAGATTTAATACACATCTAACATTTAATAAATAAGAAAGATACGTGTTCTTAAAAGGAAAAAAACACGAGAAAAAGTCTCTAAAAATAAATAAATTAAAAACTACAAAAAAACAAAACATAACTTGAAATTTACCTGAAGGGGAAGGGAAAAAAAAACAAGTAATTATTTATTAACTGGCTTTTTCAATATTTTTTTGAGACTTTTTTAATTTACGGTCAGCTTGTTATTATTAAATTTAATTAAAATTACGTTAAATTAAAAAATATATATATATATATAATAGATAATTTTATTATACATCTGATAATTAAAAAATTAAAAAATAATTAATAATTTATTTTTTTTAATTTTACCGGAGAAACTCTTACATTTTTTTGAGAAAGTTTCTAACGAGGGAGAGAAAAAAATATTAATTTTCTTTTTTTTAAAAAAATTTTACAGGGTGGATATTATTACATAAACCATTCACACACGTAATAATGCAGAGAAAAAGAAAAGGAAACATACAAACTTCTCAAGAGTCCTATAAGAAACGAGAAACAAACAAACAACCAAACAGGGCAAAAAAAAAAAAAAAATAGAAGCTTCGATCTTTGCATTCCAATGGCGGAACTAGAGAGCCCAGTGTCTTCGGCGGCAGCAATGCCGAGAGTGATAGGGTTCCTGTCGTCTCTTCTGCAGCGAGTGGCGGAGTCCAACGACGTGAACCGGCGGTTCGAGCCGCAGAAGATCTCGGTCTTCCACGGCCTAACCAGACCCACAATCTCCATTGAAAGCTATCTCCAGAGGATCTTCAAGTACGCCAATTGTAGCCCTTCTTGCTTCGTCGTCGCCTACGTTTACCTCGACCGATTCACCCAGTGCCAGCCATTGTTGCCCATCAACTCCTTCAACGTCCACCGCTTGCTCGTCACCAGCGTCATGGTCTCCGCCAAGTTCGTGGATGATTTGTAAGTCTCTTGATCAACTTTTCTTTTCTTTTCTTTTATTTTCTCATGGTTTTGTTTATATCTGGGTTTTACCAGAAAAATTCGTCTCTGTGCTCTTCTTGCTGAATTGGGTTTGTTTATATGGTTTAGAAGTTTTTGTATTTTTTTTTTATTTTTGGATTTTTTAACTTGGTTATTGGATCGTATACTTCAAAAAAACAAAGTCATTGTTTTGGGTTTTGTTGATACTCTGAGATAATTTTGGTGTCGTTTCTTGCTCTGTTATGAAAATGGATGAGAATCTCAAACACCCTTTTCTTTAGTCAGATTAAAAAATTAAACTGTTTAATGGATTTGAAAGATTGAAGAAAATGAACTTTCACAAGCATAATTAAATGGTGGAAGCAAGAAATCACCGCCAAGAAAATGAAGAAATCCATGATCCATGTGACAAACTGTCCTTTTTCCAGACAACCTTTCTGGTTAACCTTTGCTGTCTAATATTAACTTGTCATCATTCATAGCATGCCTATAAATTTTACACCAAAAGGGGGAAAAATATATGTGTGAAAAATGACAGCCCAATCAAGGGCAGCAAAAAAGGTTCATTTCCAACTTGGCATTTGCTCAATGATTGGCAAAAAAACGCTTTGCTTGTCTGCACAACTTGGTTTGGTTGTGGTTTGACTGTGACTGTTTGCTAAGATGAATAAAACAACTGTCCTTGTAGGCTTTATTAAGCATATAATGCTACTTTTTTCATTCAAAAGAAAAACTCTTTTTTTTCACATTTAATCATGTTTTTCTTTTTGTTGGTAAGATAATGTACATTTTTATACATGTGAATTTCTTGTTTTATGGAAAATAATTCTTGAGATTTTTTTTTTTTTTTTTTTTTTTCACTTGGGATATTCACAGGTACTACAACAATGCCTACTATGCCAAAGTTGGTGGGATAAGCACAGCAGAGATGAACCTTCTTGAATTGGACTTCCTATTTGGTTTGAGCTTCCAATTAAATGTGACACCAACCACCTTTCACAGTTATTGTTCTTACCTTCAAAGAGAAATGTTGCTTCATTCACCTCTACAATTAGCACAACACCCTCTAGACACTCCTAAATCTCTCAAGCTCCATTATTGCTTCAATGAAGATGAATCTGCCCACCAAAAAGAGCTAGCAGTTTAGGCGGTTTTTCGGTACCGTATAATAGAGTACCGTATAGTAGAATTTGTAGAACTCTTTGTTTGCGTAGTAGATGAATCCCGATAGTTTTTGTGGGCTCGAACCACCCCATTTGAGATTGGCAAGGTGAAAAGTGAAAGCTGGTAAGAAGTCAAAACTTTCTCGTTTGACTTGGCCTTCAAGCCAAGAGAAGTACTGCTAAATTTCCATCATTAAACAAAAGGTTTTAAAGCTGCCTGAGCTCGTTTTGCTTGTTCCCCACATCTTCCCAATCCAGTATTACTTCTCTCTTTCAGTTTTGATCTGTCTTTAAACTTTAACATTTTGTCTCTCTCTCTCTCTCTCTCTCTCTCTCTCTCTCTCTATATATATATACATATATTTTTTATTTTTTTATTTTTTATTTTTTTTTGCGTTCATGTCTTATTGTACTTTTGGATTTGTTGAGTTTGGTAGTATAAATATGCCATGTACAGATGGAGAATTTGCCTTTACAGTCTGGCTAAGATGATGATACTGACGGTGAAGCTTTAAATTGTCTACTGAGACACCTAGTGCTGCCAGAATAAACTTGCTGGCAGCTTGGTGGTATCAGCTGGTGCCAACCATGCCAAAACCTTATTTTCTTAGCTAAATGACATAATTAGCTTAAGCCATGTCTTTGGGCAGCAAATATATATATATATATATATATATATATTGATAGAGTATAACACAATTAGCAAAGTTTTACGTAATAACAAAAGAGCAGTGAAGGAAATTCGGATCCATTCCTGTGGGGATAATAGTGGGTCTCGCCTACACATCTAATAAGATCCACTTTATGTGAGTAGTGGAGATTTTATCTCATGAGAATGTGTTAGAGTGGTAAAAACGCCGGGACACAGAAATTTCCATATTTTTTAAGACATGAGAAAAATATTGATGGGCAACTCTCATAAGTGGAGTATATCTGAATTTTTTATAATGGAAAATTGAAGGAAGAGAGCAATATTGTATTGGGACATTCTCATACACAAAGCAGTACTTGGCTCCATGTTTTAGTTAATTAAAAACATTTGCATCTATGTCCAGAGCATTGTTCGAAGAATAGAATACATGTAGGTGGTTTAACGTGAATATTATAGATCTTATCATTTAAGGCGTTTATGAATATTTGAATTCTTGTATATTTTTTATTACGTTAATGAAATCTATACCAAATTTTAACTTTAAATAACATCCCTTTTAATCAAATCACACAATCCTCAAAGATCACAATCAAACAAGCAAAACTTAATAGATTATGTTCTCCGGAGAGTACAAAGATTTACATCCCTTCATAACAGAAGGCACTCTTATATATTATAGTGAAATTAGCTCTCTCTCAAGAAAGATTACAGTGAAATTAGTTTTGAGTACAATGTGATCTCTCAGGTCCTCAACTCCATATATATAAGCTTATAGTCACGCCTCAACAAAATATCAAACAACTAAGGGCTTTTTCTTTTGGAGTTTAACTTGAATATAATTCTTGAGTTGAATTTGAGTTATAACTTGAGTTTGTGTTTGGTTGTGTACATTTGAGTTATAGTTTAAGATAAGAATCTTTTTGAGTTTGTCTTTGAGTGAGTCAAAACTTAAATTTGTATTTAGATAGTATTTTAATAAAAACTCAATGCTGATGAAAAATTTTAATAGGATATATGTGTCCGGTTTTATTCGTCTTTTTGTTGTCAACGCATAGAAAAAAAATCATCTCAATCAGAATTAAAACGAAAAAGTTATAGCATTTTTAAGAATAGAAAAAATATTATTCATTAATTTGAGTTCGAGTTTCTGAACTCGAGTTGAAGGGAAAACTTGAACTCGAGTTTTAGTCCTAAACTCGAGTTTGAACTCGAGTTTAAACTCGAGTTTAAACTTAAAAGAATATGACCTCGAATAAAATTGTAACTCGAGTTGCCTTTTTTTGAGTTTTTTACTCAAAAGAACAAGCCCTAAATTAACTAACTTCCCATTTTTTATTTCCACGTGGCATGTGCTAATTGAATGCTTGTATTCTTGATTAATGATAGGGTTAAATCCTAGTTTACAGTTATCTTGTTTACCCCCCAAAGTCCGGAACGTAATTTAAAAAAAAAAAAAAAAACGCGTATCACTAAACTAAATTATACCTTCATTTATTATAGTAATATTCCCTGAAAATTACATTAATTATACATGTATAAAGAAAGAAGGAAAGAAAATCTTCACTCTCGGGTTGGAGAATTTGACCCCGGATATGTACAATGGAACCAGGAGAGGGATTCGAATATGGAAAACGACAAGGAAAATAAAATTAAAAACCGAAGGTAGCTAAAAAACGACCAAAAAAAAAAATATAACACTGCATTATCAGATAAACGACAAAAACTGAAAGCACGTGCAACTTCAAAACGACATATTGATAGCTCGATTTTATTACTTATAAATCTTGGTTATTTTTATTGGCCGTTCTTGGTGTTTTTAGCGTGTTTTTATTATGTTTTATCTTACTTTTATAGGTTTGAGTTAAAATGAATAAAAAGGTTTTTAAAAGAGTGGAATTGGGTTTCAAATTAAGCCATGAAGCCGCTGCAGCGAAATGAAATTCGCGATGCAACGCGGACAGCAGAAAGCCAGCCCTAGGCCTCTGCCTCAGGCGCTGCAACGCCCACTTCTTGTGCTGCAGCGCCCCCCAAAAAATTGAAGACTAGCTGCAACAGGTTTGCCTGCGTTGTTGGGGTTTTCCTAACAATCCTAACGGTGCTATAGCGGGAAAGTGATCCGCTGTAACGCTTCCATGCATTCTAAAGTCATTTAAGGCTTCATTTGCACGGATTTCAAGGGATGTATAAATAGAAATGAGCTAAGAATCACAAGAAACGCTTGGAAACACAAAAAATGAACCAAAAGAGGAAAATACGAGATTTTAGAAAGCATACTTGGAGATTGGACGGGAGCTTGAAGATTTGGAGCTTGTTCTTCAACAAGTTTTATTTCCTTCTTCTCCTTCCTCTTTTATCTTCTAGAATTTGTATTTTTCTTGACCGTGTGTAAACCATGGATATGAGATTTGGATTGTTTATGGTTCATACTAGTGCTGGAAGTTCGGGCCGGTGGGCTGCCCGAAGCCCGAATTTTTTCAGGCTCGAGCGGGCAGGCCCATATGCCGGCCCGTTCAAGGAGGATTTTCGGCTCGGGTAGCCCGAATTTTGAGACCACGCCGGAGCCCGCCGTCTACCGGAGTTTTTTTTAAATTTTTCCGGCCATGCCCGAAGCCCGAATTGCCCAAAAAAACGTTCAAATATCCGACCGTTGTGCCCGACCCGAAAATAAGCCCAAAAACCTGAATTTTTCCCAAAGCCCGAATTGCCTGATTTACCCGAAATGTCCGAAAACCATCCAACGGCTACTTTTTTGCCCGAGCCGCCCGAATTCGCCTGAAACCCGCCCAAACCCAACCATTGAAAATCAATTTTGCCCGTTGCACATTGATTTTTTTGAAAAAAAAAAAAATCAATTTTTTAACCCAAAAATTTCCCTATAAATACCCCCCATCCCCCACACATTTTTCTCACTCAAACTCTCTTAATCCCTCTCAATTTCTCTCAATCTCTCTCAATTTCTCTCAATCTCTCTCAATCTCTCAAATCTCTATTACAATTTTCTAAAAACTATCACATTATTCTAAAGCTCCCTCTCTCTCTCAAATCGCTATTATTTTTTTTATAATGGATCCTTTTGGTTATAGTGGTATTCCCGTTGATGCCCAACACAACGTGGAAGAAAGGCAATTTTCCACTAATGAATTTGTTACGCAAGAATCTACTAATTCGAACCCTGGTGGACGTACTAGAGGTCGTGGTCGCAATGGTGGTGGGCGTGGAGAAACAGCGAGTGCCAGTGTGACTGCGTCTGCAAGTGTTACAACCTCTAGGAGGAAATGCAAGCGCACCTCGACAGTTTGGGATCACTTCGACATAATTGAGGAGATCGACAATGAAGGTAACACTAAACATATAGCTCAGTGTAAATATTGTTTATCTAAATTACAATGTGACACTATTCACGGCACTGCACACTTGAGAAAACACTTCGAAAAGTGTCTTCAAAAGCTTAGCCAATCTGGCGGACCCGAACTCTACCAAACACAATTATCTTTTGATCGCGCAACCGGTGGTCTAACCACTTGGAAATACGATCTGCAAGTAGATCGTATGGAAGTTGTACGAATGATAGCTACTTTAGATCAACCACTTAGTTTTGTAGAGCATCCTAATTGGCAATGATATATTAAGGTTGTACATAATCCTAATGCACAGTTTACTTCAAAAACTACTCTCAGAAAATATTTATTAAAATTATTTAAAAAAGAAAAAGAAGCATTAATAAACCTTTTACACTCGACTAGCGGGTGC